AATAATAATAATAATAATAATAATAAACTGATTCTGTGTTTGTAGGTATGTATCTGCCCATCCATTCAATTAATGCATCTATCAATCTCAGGCATCAATTCTCTATTTAATTCTAATTGTGACAATTTCTGGTCAGCAATTAAGTGTACTGTTTCTTTTTTCTCCCTTTTATTTTGAACACATAGAACCTCTCCAACCCTTCGCATTTTTTGCCAATCTCAGCTCATCCTAGGTTTTAATTCTCCTAACACCAGCAATATGATCAAGCTCTCAGTAGTATTCTTCTGCTGTGACTTAGTTATTTGTGTATTTGTTATGGGTACTTTGTTTTCTGATTTTCCTTAAATATTTTGTGTACCTTTGCTAACTTCTTCTGCTGTCCTCCATTTTTTTCCTTTTTTGGAATTGTTCTCCAAGTACCCTGAACATCCTTTTACGGAACTTTTCTAGAAGAACCTTTTGCAATTAGCATTTTTTTTTACTAAAGAATCCTACTTTGCTCTGAATTTATTAAAATTACTTTTTTGAAGTTCAAGATTGTTCTTTGACTATCTTCAATTTTAGTATTCCTTAAAATCCACTCTTTAAACCTCATAAGGTTGGGGCACTTTCCCCCCATATTCCTTCTATTCCTACTTCTTTAACTAATTCCCCTTAATATCAAGTCAAGTATTGTACAGCCAAGTCTCTGGCGTTGCCTTCTACTCTCTTTAAGAAAAAGGTGTCAGTAAGATAAGTTTGGAATTTCCTGGAATGTCTACACTGATCCAATGTTTTTCCCAAGAGTTGTTGGAGGAATTACTCAGTGCTGCTCTGAAATATCTGCAATTCGCTTTTTCAAAGCTTTATCCACATCTTGTACTAATTGGTAGTAGATGTGAACAAAAATAGTGCTTCATTTTTCCTCTTTTAATCTCGAAGCTTCCTACAGTATTGCCATGTTTATTCACAGATTTTCTGAGTGCATTTGACTATAGTTACTTGTTTATGGAACTTCTTCACTACTTAACTAATGATAGATTCTAAGTGGTATAGAGGTGATGATAAAATACAGATTATGTTAAAATAAAGCAACATGACACAATAGATAAAATAATACATAAAATAAGGCCACAAATTACTCAGATATCAATCTTCTATCCTATTCCTCTGGTTACAGAAAAACCAGTTTTTAACAAACTTCTGAAAAATTGTAATGGAAGATATTGCTTTTGTTTCTGGGGGCAAGTTGTTTCAAAGGAAGGGGATTTCTATAGAGAATGCCTGGTTCCATGTCCCTCTACTGGACATCTTAGCAGGAAGGACTTTCAATAGACACTTTCTGCTTGCATACTATGGATGCACAGATTCTATTTAGAATCCCCTAAGAAGCTGTTCGAAGATCTGAGAATTCTCCTTAACTGCTGCAGATGCAGCTATTTTTGAAAGAGAATGCTCCAGAGACAATTATTCATATTGTCATCACCTTAATTATACACATTACAGTTGGGTTACTATAACGTTGTCTATTGGGACTGCCTCTAAAGACTACTCAAAGCTGCAGTTGGTCTATACTTCAGCATCCCATCTGTTAATGGGTTGGTCCTAGTTTAACAAAGTCACATGATTCTGTAAGAGCTGCCCAGGCTACCAGTAGTTTTCCAGGACAATTCAAAGAGCTTGTAATCACATATAAATCTCTTTATTGGCTGAATCTTTGATTTTTGAGGGACCATCTTCTCTAAGTAGACTTTTCCCATTCTATGAGTCTACTTGGGAAGGTAAGCTTCGGATCCTCTCTTTTAGTCTGGGGAACAAAAGTGCAGAGCCAGGCTTTTCTCCTGGCTTTGTAGAATTTTCCTTCCCCTAGAGCAGTGATGGCGAACCTTTTAGAGACCAAGTGCCCAAACTGCAACCCAAAACCCACTTATGCATCGTCGGGTGCCGGGTGGGTGTGGCCCATTGGGTGGGCGTGGCCCATTGGGTGGGCGTGGCTGTGGTGGTAACGGCTGACTGTGTGGGACTAAAAAGTTCAATCAATCAATTCCAACTTTGCAAGATCTTTTTTTTCCTATGAGAAGTTGAAATTGACTGATTGATTGAAACTTTTTTTTTTTGTACATGGCGGCGGAGGCCTAAAGCGAAAAGGTTTTATAAAACCCAGCTGAAGGCCTAGGACTGGGGCGACGGCGTGTGTGCCCACAGAGAGGGCTCTGAGTGCCGTCTCTGGCACCCGTGTCATAGGTTCGCCACCACTGCCCTAGAGTCAGAATGGAATCCTTCTTGATTTTATTCACATGAAGAGAATCTTTTGTTTGGCCTTTGGAAGACACACTAATAGGAATGAGAAATATGGCCTTTGGTAGTTATGTTTTTTTGTGGTTATTTGTGTCTTGGTAAAATATTTTCTATTATTTTAAGTTTATGATGCTTTTATGATGTGTTTTATTGTTATAAGCTACCCAGCAATGTGGGACAGCACACACATGTAGTAAAATAAATAAAATATAATTTTATGAGCCAATATTCTTTATGATTTTTCAGACAGTGATTTCATTAGAATATTTCCATTTCTGCAGCACACAAGTTTTTGTCTGAGACTTTTACATATAGATTTTCAGCTCCACTAGATTAAGATTAAAGCTTCCTTAATTGAATAATTCTTTAGCCAGGTAATTTAGATCCTGAAACAAAATACAGTATCTGATATCATTTGTATAGTCAGCCATTTGTTTGCAGAATGTAGGGGGTTTTTTTTAGTCTGTTTCAATGGATAGGAAGGATTTCATTCCACATACTATAGTAGTAAGCCATCAAATATCTTCTCTTATTTTTATTTATTTACTTTATTTTTTATATCCCACCTTTATTATTTTTATAAACAACTCAAGTGAGGAACACACACAATACTAGTTCCTTCTCCTATTTTCCCCAGAACAACCCTGTAAGGTGAGGTGGGCTAAGAGAAAGTGACTGGCCCGAAGTCATCTAGTCAACTTTCATGCCTAGCCTGGTGCCTTGACCACTAGACCAAACTGGCTCTCATTCTTATTCTTCTTATACGGCCCAGCTGTATTCCTTCTATCCCCAGGATCTATTTCCCTTTGATCTATTGCTTCCTTTTTTCCTCTCCTGAAGGCTTACGGCTTGTTTCTTCTTTGAGGTACAGGTAGTCCCCGACTTACAACAATTCATTTAGGGACCATTCAAAGTTACAACAGCACTGAAAAAAGTGACTTATGACCATTTTTCACACTTATGACCATTGCAGCATCCCCTTGGTCACATAATCAAAATTCAAATGCTTGGCAACTGACTCATACTTATGATGGTTGCCTGTCTCAGAGTCTTGTGTTCACTTTTTGCAACCTACTAACAAGCAAAATCAATGGGGAACCCAGATTCACTTAACAACCATGTCATTAACTTAACAACTGCAATGATTCACTTAACAACTGTGGCGAAAGATCATAAAATGGGGCAAAACTCACTTAACAAACTGTTTTGCTTAGCAACAGAAATTTTGGGTTCAACTGTGGTTATAACTCGAGGACTACTTATATTTAAAGGTGTTTTTTTTTCTAACTCTTGTCCACTGGCCTTACACTTTTGGGTTTTTTTCCTTATTAAAAGTTGTGTCCTCTATCAATTCCCAGTGTAGGACCTCCTTCTTTTGATTTGTATGTTACATTGTTCCCTTGTCAGACTTTCAGAATAGCTGTATGCTGATAACTTAGAGGGAAAAATTATTAAGGACGCTAGAACTTCTCTGCTATACTGGGAACTTCTGCTTGCTCTTCATGCTCCCTGTCTCACTATGCTTACTTCTGGCAATCTACTGACTTATAGTCTTCCTACTGTATCGTCTCTGCTTACTCACCAGGAAGCATGCCACTCAGAATCCACAATGGGCAATTAACAGTTATTTAGAGAATTAATTAACACTGAGGATTTTTTTTAATTTATGGGAAAATAGGAGTTTAAAGTTGAATGACATTATTTTACTAACATTGCTCCTTAGAAACATGGGAGATATTATAGCAAAGAAAAAGAAAGTATTTATTGATCTTTAAGATTTCAAATGAGATAAACAGGGATAAATTGAAAGACCTTTCTGTGCCAAATAAAAGAGTCTATTGTAGCTTGTAAAAAAATTTTTTTAAGGAAGATTACTGACTAGTTAAGGATGTCAAACCAATTTCACTCCTATTTATAAAAAACAATCTCAATTTTGCACTAAGACAAAACTTCTGTAATATAGACATGGGACTGTCTATAAAAACGTTCAGCTAGTCTAAAACATAACCAATATATTAATACCAGCCAGATGAATTGCTTAAAACTATAGATGTCTTAAATATTCTATAAAAATGCTAGATGGATGTTAATATTATAATAATCTGCATGTTGCATGAAATAGCAATGTTTCTGGGCTCAATTTAAAGGTGATGGTTGTAATCTTATATAACAGTACCTGACAAAAGGCAATGTGAAATCTGGTATTACTTGCTTAATTATTATAACGTTCCATTTTAAGGATTGAATAAATGAAAAATTTTTGAATACATTTTAATTTACTCACCATAATGCTGTTAATTGTTTTTCTTCTGATGTCATACTGGAACCTGAGTGGGTTTTTAGTCTCATAGCATATCTGCAAAGATGGAGAACAAAGTCAGGAAAGCAAGCACGCACGCACGCACGCACGCACGCACGCAAACAAACAAACAAACAAACAAACATGAAATATTTTATAGCTCAGTGGAACTTTAGTTTACCTAAGGGTATCATCTCCCCCTCTTGTTCCTTTCAGTGGGAACTCTTTAAAAATACTGGGTCTCTCTACCTGCCAGCTTTAACAAACCATAGCAAAGTCTTTTCCTTTATGAAGCTTAGATGAATAACCCCTGGCACTGTTCATTCTTCTTTTCCTTGACTATCAACTTCTTATCTTCCTGGTTTTTTCCCATGAATGTCATCACATTTGATCATTTCTTTCAGTTAGCGCCAATTCTCAAAGTGACTTACTACTGATTAATTAAAATGCTTTATAATGTTCATCATTTACTGTATTTTGCATGACACTATACTAGATGGTTTCATTTTTTCATTCACTTCAAAGGTTCTCAAAGCTCATGAGATTCAAGTCCCCCTTTCTGTATTTAACCTTTTTTTTACTACAATGTTCCATCTCATTTATATCCCTCCTTGCTTTGCAAACATACTATAAATATGTATCCTTGTGAGTTTAGTCCAAATGTGAAATATTTTTCTGATGAATATTTTTGTGGCTTCTCCTTTTATATTTTTAAATACATAAACAAACAAATGGACAACACTTCTAAAGATCAATTTTTGCAGATTTTTGTTTTTTCCTGTTTTCATATTTTTGTTAGATTTTCTAGTGATATTTATTTATTTATATAAACTATTTACATGGCCACAGCAGTGACTCAAGGTGAAGAAAAAAATAACCCAGTTAAATAATTAAATCACCCTTAGGAGGGATCTAGTATAAGTTGGAAACCCCCACCCTTGAAATTGGTTGCTTTGTTCTTGGCACTCTTGATTTTCTTCTTCAATAATATGCTTGATTGCATGGTCAGCCAGATATTCAGACTGGATTTGGCATTTTTGTCCACCTAACGAGTCCTTCCCAAGGATCGAAGATATGCAGATGTGGATCCTTGACGATAAAGGTATTGTCATAAGATGTAAGCTGTTCTGAGCAAAGCTGCTTTTTGCAACTGACTAATGGTGATTTTGACAATGCCAAGGGCATTCAAGAGGTGCTCCAATTGTTGTGGATTTGCACTCAAGGAACCTACAATTATTGGCCCTACCTTTGTTTTCTTTTGCCATAGTCGCTCTATTTATATTTGCAGGTCTTTTTATTTTGTTATCTTGTTCAGCTTTTTCTCTTCTGTTCTGCTATCTCCAGGTACTGCCACATCCACTAGCTAGACTTTTTTGTCTTATTAACCAATTTTAACTCTGGGGTGTTATGGGGCAGATGCCTGTCTATTTGAATTCTAAAGTCCCAGAGCACTTTAGCTTCTTCATTTTCTATTACTTTCTCTATTTTATGGTCCCACCAGTACTTGCTTTCAAGCAAATGGTATTTCTTGCAGATCTTCCAATGCACTTTTGTTGCTACTTTGTCATGCCATTTTTTGTAGTCAGTCTGTGCTGTCTTCTTGCAGCAGCTAACCAAGTTGTTCAATGTTTCTTCAGCTTCTTTGCAGAGGTTTCTTTGCTATCTCTTGCTGTCTTCTCAATTCTGGCTCAATGCATTTGTTCTTAAAGCTTGGTCTTGTGTTGTCAGAATTAGTCCTTCTGTCTCTTTCTTCAACTTTCCTGATCTTAGCCATTGCCAGGTCTTGTTATCATCTCTTTTTCCTGCTATTTTTTTATAATGCACTGGGCAAGTAATGCTTTGTTTTCCCATGCCGCTTTTCTGTTCTTCATTTGGTCTTTATTGTAGGTTAGTTTGGTCCAGTGCTTTTTTTGTAAAAAAAAAAGAAAAAAAAAAAGGTGCCGGGACTCACACACGTTATACAATCCATGTTGCCTACCCTACAAGGTTTACCTTTGTAGTTGAAAAAACACCCTTCAATTTTTAGTGTATCTAAAAGATTAGAATTTTGTTCAAGGTAAGTTAATACTATTAATGTTACCAAGCACTGTATGGCTTTAAATTACAAGAAGGCATTTTATTAATCTTTTGGGACATTTACCACTGGCATAGCCATTTAGTTTAATGAGTGGAAATGTCAGCTTTCTATGTGGAATGAAATTGGCCCAATAAAACAAAATTTGGTTGTTTGTAAAAGATTGAATTGTTTTTAAGAAGTTGTCAAACAAGGTGGAAAAATTTACATTTGGAGTTTAATATGGATATTGACTTGAAACAAATTAAAGTTGAAACTTTTTCAGTGAACAGATTACTTTTAATTTACCTTTAAATTAAATCCGATTTAATAAATAGATCTGATTAAACCTCATACTGTAGGTCTACCTTTACATCTGACCAATACATAATTAATATATATTATTAATAATAATAATAATACCTCCAAATCACAAGACATTGGCTTTATTCTTATTCTTCCCCTCTGCAGTTTCAATATAAAGTATAAAAGACTAAAAAGAGATTTCATAGACATCCCAGCCTTTGAACTACCCAAGGAACCGAAAGAGTAAAGTTTCGCTGTCAGGCAAGCTTCCACACCAGCCACCTTTCTTTCCTCTCGCTTCGCCTCTTTTTAACCTCACACCCCACCTTCTGTAAGGGAAGGCAAAAGGCTCATTCACCCTCTTGTGAAAGATGGCCTCCACGTTTGTGTCTCCCACCACCACCATCAGCTTCCACACCATATGGTCCGATCCAACCAATCAAGCCATACTCTGGCTGTGGTGCTCCAGCGCCTCATAGCTCCTCCCAGAGGAGGCAGACAGCGCCGCAGGGGACCCCACTCACACTGTACCGCCAGCGGGGCATTTTCAAAAACAAATGAGGATAGGAAGGGAAACAATAGGAAAAGAATACAACTCTGGAAAAATCCATCGAAAAAAGGTGCCGGAACTATGACAAAAAAAAGCCCTGGTTTGGTCTCTCCAGTACTCAGTAGGATTTCCTGGTATACTAACTTCATTGCAACTTCTTCACTATCCTTCAGATATTCTTCCAATGCCCACCTCCAATGGAGGTGAGGAAGCCTCCCTTAATTCTGTCTATACTGTTTTTTTAAGATCACTAGTCTTCTCTCCCAGAAAAATGTAAGGGTTGATAAATATTGAATAACATTGTACAATAATAAACAGGTAAGCTACAAGGTATCTCATTATTTGCAATGAGGACCAATTCCTCACAACATCGCAGGAAAATTGTTAAGAAGAAATAAAGGAAGTCTCTGGCTGTATTTCGGGGGATAAATGAAACCACCATGTGTGAGTTCATTTGCTGAAATTCATACAAATAGGAGGATGCTGCAAATGACTGTAAAGATAATCTGGTTGCCAAGCGCCTAAAATACAATGACTGTGGGATGGGGTGCAGCCATTTAAAGTTCAAAAATGGGTTTTAAGTAGCTTTTGGTTGTCTGTCATAACTTTGGATAGTTGTTAAGAGACTGGTCAAAAGTCGACGACTACCTATATACTGCATAAGCGCGAGAGTCAGTCAATTGTTGGCATACTGTCAGAGGCGCACCTGATGAGCTCCACAGTTTCTGCATACATTGTGTACGGGGACTTTGATTCCATGGGTCCTTCTTCCATGGCATTTCCACACTCAATAAATGATAATGCAGCTTCAGCATAATTCAGTGCCTTGCCAAATTTTTCCACCTTCAAGATAAAATCAATAGGAAAAACATGACAAAATAATGTATTTGTATCTATCCTTGAGTAGTAATGAGTTCTTACTAATGTCTTCTATAGAAAGAGGCAGAATATTTATGTTAGCAAATAAAAAAGGCTATCTGGTTTAGTTTGGATTATTTTAAGATTTGTATAACATTTTTGCCCTCAAGGTACTTGCTAAGTCACAAAGTGTCTACTTAACCTAATTTAGTTTGAACCAAGAAACTACTATTTCAGCTTCAGAACAAGAGAGTATTTTAGGCTTTCAACTAGAATTTAAAATTCTAGATCTGAAGTTGATAAGTTTCTCAGCAGAGAAGATAGGAATATCTAGTCAATTACTAATTTTATAACATATCAAGATCCAGGAGGTGGCAGCCCCTAACTAAATTTGATGGTTAAGCAGACAGTTGTGAGACCATTTTCAAATTCCAGAGCTCTTGGATAGACTGAGATGTCAAATGCCCTGGATGAAAGCATTACAATTCTGTAATGCTACCAAGAAAACTGCATGGATGATGTTTGCAGGAGAAGTGCTTCATTTGAAGGTATCTTTATCTTTAGCTCAGTAAGGCACCTCATGAAAAAAGCAAACCAAATTTAGGCCTTGATATGCTGAAATATGAGGTATACACCAATGCAGCTAAGCTGATCTGTAGCATTTACAATGAAACAGGGAAATATAGATAGGAGTGGTCAAAATAAATAAATGCAAAGAGAAATAGGACTATAAAAATATGATCTTGTATATATGGTTTGGGACAAAATTCAGAGTAAATCTCTAATTTAATCAGTAATCATTTTATTCTCTCTGTATATGTGTGTGTGTGTGAGAGAGAGAGAGAGAGAGAGAGAGAGAGAGAGAGAGAGAGAGAGAGAGAGAGAGATGCCGAAATCATTGGTTGCTGCCATCTAATTTAGATAAAAAGAGGTAAAGATAAAATTCTTTAGTTTAGAAGGGAGGTCTATATCTTACACTTTTCCTGGACCAGAAAGCACTTCTTATAGTCATTTATGCTTTGGTGAGCTTACAGATGGACTATTGCAATGTGTAATATATACTATTCAGAAACTATAACTGAACCAGAATGCAGAAGCAGAAGCAGTAATGGACAGGCCACTTCATGCCCATGTGACACTAATGCTTTATGACCTTCAGTGGGTACCAAATGGTTCCTGGATGCAATTCCAGGTTCTGGTTGTCACACTTAAAGCCTTAACCTAGTTTATTTGAGGGACCATTGTACTGGCAATGTGGAAGACCATTTTTATTTCAAGTTTAGCGACATATTTTGATTTCTTTTTCGTGTTAAGAAAAGTCTAGAACTTTAGAGCTCGCTCTCATCTAACCTGTTTGTTTACTGAATAAAGGAGAAAGGGGAAATCTTCACATAGCTGCAAACCTATGAAAATCTCAGACTTTCCCTTCCCATCCCAGAATCATGTGCCACCCAGTCAAGGTCAGGTCTTGCAGTGAAGAAAAACAATAGATACCTAAATGATATTCCAAAGGTGCCTATTGAAAAAAAAATGAGTATTTGAGAGATGGAGCTCCATCCACAGAAGACCTGACTGTGAGTAGTTGCTGTTTGTTAAAGTTAAAATGAAGGTGACTGAGATTCACATTTATATGTTCTCTAGACATGTCATTTTTAGGAGAATATTTCTTCAGACAGAGTTATAATCCTGTCATTCTGAATAAAAGCTAGCTCAGGGCTTTTAAGTTGGGCTCAAAATTTTTTGCAGAAATGGGGATCCACTATGTGGGCTGACAAATCCAGATCATCTGGATTTTACAGCCCAGCTATTGTAGCCATAAAAATAAACCAAAGTAAGCTTTTTAAAACCTGGTCAGAAAGTTGCTTTTTGCTAAAATGCTCCTTGTGTTACCAAATGTATCCGGTTTACAGGGAAACAAAAAAAAAACCCAACATACTTTCTAAATATCCCAAATTCAGGGCTCCAAGTCCACATTGTTTGATAAATAAACAAATGAATAGATGAAGCAGGCCTACAATGGAATAACACAAATGTTTGCTACTTGTTTCATTTATTTTATATAAAAAGACATCCAAATTGCAGTGTGCCAATGTGTAAAAGTAATCACCTCCGTAATTCAATCAATGCAATTAAATGGATAACTGAGGCCAATTGTATGAATACTATACTAAATAATGAGAGCCGATTTGAGCCAGACCTACATTATATAAATAGCACAAAGCGACTCCCCTCTCAAAGTGAAGTTCCCAACATGCAGATACTGGAGGACAGTTATGTTCCCAAAAATGTTCCCAAAAATGTAATGAATAATAATAATGAAGTAAAAAATTAATTAGTCACTTTACCACATTTAAAAGGAATGAGATAGTGTCCATACCCAAAATGAAACTGCCTTCACCCCATATAGTGCTGCTTCACTTTCCTCTCCTCTTCCTCTTCCTTCTCAGCTGCTGTCCAGCCCAAAGCTGTAGAGTTTCATGAAGTGGTCAATAGTAACAAAGAACTGAAATTTCAATTCAGTAATCAGACCAAATGTAGAGATTATAAGCAGATATCTCTGCACATAGTAAATTGGGGCCCTTCTCTCGTGGGGCTATGAGGGACTTTCCAGCTCAGTGTCTCATTTCTATGTTCCCATGTAGTCATCTGTGTTGAATAATAATAATAATAATAATAATAATAATAATAATAATAATAATAATAATAATAATAGTAGTAGTAGTAGTAGTAGTAGTAGTAGTAGTAGTAGTAGTAGTAGTAGTAGTAGTAGTAGTAATGGAAGGGACCTGCTCAGGCAGGAAACCCTAAACCATTTCAGAAAAATAGCTGTCCAGTCTCTTCTTAAAAACTTCCAGTGTTGTGGAACATTCACAATTTCTGGAGGCAGGTTGTTCCACTGATTAATTGTTCTAACTGTCAGGAAATTTCTTAGTTCTAGGTTGCTTCTCTGTTTGGTTAGTTTCAATCCATTGCTTCTTGTCCTGCCTTCAGGTGCTTTGGAGAATAGCTTGATTCCCTCTTCTATGTGAACTGACATACTCCCAACTTATCTATGGTTAGTATAAATAAGGAATATTCTAACTGATCTTTGGAGAGTAAAGAGATTATGGGGAAAATTTTTTTAAACCCCACCTAATTATACTGACCCAGACTCAAGGAAGAGACAAAAGCATGGATCCTGGACATGTGATTTCTTTATATCTTCCTACAAGAATTGGTGAGATTTTATTTTTAAAAAACTAACATATAAAATGATACGTGAGTGCTTCTTATATTCTGTCCTATTGCTATCTTTATACTATTAGTACCATAATGACCATTACTATGACAATCACTATACTATTGCTATTTAAAGTACTACATTACTATTAACTATTACTTTATTATCTATTATTCTATACATTTTGCTCCATACTATTGCTCGTATGCATCAAGTTTCTTTCTTAAGACTGTTTTGTCTCAAATCCCCTCTGAGATTTTTTTCTTCTTTTTGTTTTAACAGCCAACATGTAGAGCTCTTGCACATTTTTTATGTTGTGCTTTGTCTTGCTGAGCTTCTATGCTTCCTTTCTTCTCTTGTGGTCCATCCCCTTGTGGTCCATGCCTTCTTACATTTCATTGTTATACTCTGTTTGCTGGTGGCTACCCATCTCCAGATCAAACATGTCCTCCCTTCTCCTACTACACCTGTATCAAGTTTGTAGCTTTATTGGTAATTCTGCCATGCGGCTGCTGGGCAGAAGGCTCAAATAAGGCAGCACATGTGCCGGGAATTTTGCCAAGCAACCTGCTCTTCAACAAGGTGAGTTTCTATTGATGGAAGCTAATCTGCTATCCACATTATCAGCAAACCCACCTAGTAGTGCATCTTAACAGATCATTTAGGAGAGCATGTTGGTGATTTATCAGTTCTCTTTTTTGTGGAGTGATGACAAAATGCTCTGAAATGGGTTTTTGTTGTTGTTTTGTTAAAAAAAATTTTGCTAAAAATAACTCTGGCTGGAGTGCAGTGATTTGTACTTCACTGCTAGCCAACTAACAATATTCTCAGCAATTGGTTGCAGTAGGGCTGCTTTAACAGTTTTACAGACCTTGGGGCAAAAAATGCTGGCAGTGTGCTGTAGATTCCAAGAAACTATAAACAGGAACAGGAAAATACATCTACATACATTGGATGACAGACAATTGAGTGAATCAGAATTTGGCAAAATGAGAAGAAATAAATGAGATGTCTGTCCTTTATCTTCAAATTTTCATGGCCTGCACTGGTTTTTCTGGTTTTTCAGACTCCTCATGTTTTGTCTCTGCTGATGAGACGTTGGAAGGAAGTCAACTTTTTCTTCCAATTTTGAGTTGGTTGGCATGAATGTTGCTCAGTTGAGAAAGCCTCAGCTGGCCTTTGGCTAGGTCTGAAAGCTTTTGGCCATCTGAAACACTGGGGGGGGGGGTCCAAAGCAGCCGCCTCTTCTGCATATCTGATTGATCTGATTCATCATTTCTGAACAGATTCCTGACAGCCACTTTTTCAACCTTCCTTCCCACTCAGCCCAGGCCTTTATCAACCAGTAGCAGAGAGCAGACTCCCTTCCTTTAAGCATTAAGTCAGACAGGTGCACTGTGCAGTGAAGAGACTGTTGCCAGAGTTGCAACCATCATTTTCCAAGAGTGAGAAAGAAATTTGGCAGGTAAGGTTGAAATCATGCTAGCAGGAATTTTGCTGCAAGCAGGCTGGTCCAGCTAAAACTTTAAGAAAAACAGATACAGTGGCTTCTTTTGTTAGGTGTTTCTGCATTTTATGGAAGATCACAAACCTGGAGTGACAGTCCAATATTTGAAAAAAACAAAGATACTGGCTTTGAATTCCATTACAACCAATTGCACAGGTTGACCTACATACATACCAAGAACACTGTTCCATTTTGGAGAGTTACACAAAGCACAGAAAGGGGCAAGAAATAAAAAGCCAAATTAAGACATATGGCAAGAAGGAGGAAAGGAAAAAAAGGTGTGTGTCCTAATTTCTATACCAAGAGAGTCAATGGACCTTAACCTACAACTTATACAGCAAAAAATAATATTTAGAATTTATTGTGTGTCCATTATATTTGTATAGAAAATAATTGTCTAGAACAGCATTTTGTTGGAGATGAACTAAAGACAGTGCTTCTTTAAAACACATGTTTTACAATGTCCTATACTTAACTACATTTGGAGAAGGTTGTGGACTATATAAATGTGACTGTGAAAATAGCATAATTTTTCTGAGGATAATACACTTACACACCTAGTACGTGGAATTTCACAGCTGGACAATGTAAATGGATTCTCCATACCTTTATTATAGCTAAAAGAGTGATATTGTAAGATAATTGTATCATTGCATCATACAAACTACCTAATATTCATTGCAAATCATTTGGATTTTTTGCCAACAACATGGCATTGTCTGCATACAAAAGGATATGTGTACCAACACACATCTAATCTCCCCACAGATATTTCTTATACATTTTCTATAAATATATCAAGCAACTAAAAGAGCATTATACAACCTTATCTTATCCACTGTTCAATGTTGAGCAGTTCACTAAGCATCCATTTATCTTCACTCATCCCTTATTTCCATCACATTGTTGGATTTCATGACTAATATTGAACTTTATATTTACACAAAACATTCCATAATTCAAGCCTATTTTTGTTATCATGTATTTCCTCTAAACCAACAAAAGAATGTTACATTCTTGCATTCCTACTTTTATCCATGTCTTACTGAAGTGCAAAATCTAGTCTGTACACTTCATGCTTATCATAAAACCACACTACATTTCCTTAAATTTTGCTGAGTGTCACCTCTTACTCCCTTTTGTTCACAATTATGCAAAACACCTTTCACAATTATGCAAAACACCTGTAATTTTTATATTCACACTTGCTACATTTCTCTTTACATAAGGGGACAATCATGACATTCTTCCAGTTATCAGGCACAAAACTAGTCATTGCACTTACAGTAACCAAGTTACATAATAACTAAATCCGCAAACTACCACATTTAAACATTTTTATATCCTTACTACTCTGACATTTTTGACTTCTTTTCCATGAATTCTTTCTTGGATGATCATTCTACTGTATGTATTCTTCAACATATTATCATTCCCATAAACATTGCAAAAAATACTCCTTTCAACATATGTCACTTCAGTTTCATCCCAAATACCTTCATCACTTTTATTTTTATTTCAGATATTCTGCTGAAGTTGTTTGTTTAATCCTCTTTACTCACTTGTAGAACATTTGTTTTAATTCCATGAAAATTGCTCTGCATTCTCTCTGCTTCTTTTAATGATTATTTCTTGCTTTCTTCATCTACATTCTTCCTTAACTACATTCCACCATAATAAACTTGATAAGTAATAATAGCTTGTCTTATATTGTGATTTTCACCAGATGGCCTCATGGATAAAAACCTCTGCTACCAGCAGGGCTTCGGTCAATTGAGGTATTCGGTTGATCTTCTAAGACAGTTACTTGCCTTAGATACACTCATATTACATGTAGCCTTTTCTGCTAATATTAAGCATATCAGTACTGGAACATTGGCCATTATACCATGGCACGACCAAAGCCTACTGTGATGATCAGCATACTCTCATTAGTCTATGCAAGCCAAGTTCTCTGTCCTAGAAATTACTACTGCCACCCAAAAGATACATTTTAGTACTAAGTTTAAACATCATAACTGTGATGCAAATAGCATTTTAGTAATATATTGGCTAAACCCACCACATTGTTATGATTTTTTTTCCATTTAACTAATTTAAAGCTTTCCATGTCCTATTCCATGTCCTATCTTGACATCCCTCAGTTTCAAAAGTATGGGTGGGTCTTTTGTTTGAAACAAATCTTAAAACCTATTAGCGCCTAAGCCCAGAAATGACACACAGTTTGAAACTCAAGACCACACACTGAATCAAATAACTATAAATGGGATGCTAGAACAGTCTCATCTATTTTGGGGGCATTCTTCATTTCACGACTGAAACACCACACAAAGTTTTGCCTGAACGTTCCCTGTTTACTCTTCTTGTAGCTTCTGCTAAATAGACAACAATTTAGGAACTCTGCTGTTGTCCATCTGGCGCTTATCACCCTTCATAAGATTGTCTTTTGGGGAGGGGATGAAATAACATTTGCCAAAGCTCTAGCCAAGATTTCATTAACTCCCATATTAAACATTCTGTTACCTATAATTTTAGATAATTTAACTTCATATAAACACAAACTATTCATCTTTCTAGTAGAAACCACTTTTTTTGGCATGCTAGTTATCAAATTGGATTAGAGGCTGGCTTATCCTCAATAAGAGTTAATGTTTTTCACTAATCCGCCTGATTAAATTCCCTGAAGTCAAACTTTTTGTTGTTTTTATCTGGGGGGGGGAAATGTAAGACGACATTGCTCTGGCAAGAGACAATGGTTTGTCATAGTAAGAGGATCTGTAATTATTCATCAGGAGTAAACAGCACTACACTGAAGATTAGGAATGCGCCTGGATGGTCCACTATCTCAGCCAATGCAGGAGAGGCTATCTGTCAAGAGGTTTATTGCAGTGGCAAAATACATCCATATACAGGGAGTGGAAATAGCTTGCTTTAGTCTAGCCAAATCAAGTTTTAAAAAAGTCTTACCAAAATGGACAAATGTTTGTTTGTTTATTCATGTCAGAAGCATCACATTTAAAATAAGGCATACTATATGACATAAAATATAAAATACAAAATTTAAATATGTACAAATTGAACAGATCTTACCCAGAAACTAGCAACATTAATTGCATTTGGTCATGCTGCCATGAGGTCCTCAAGTGTACACTGATTTGGGGCACAAAGGGCAGGTTTACATATGTATGGTTGTCTGCATGTCACCACAATTGCAAAAAGCAGAAGCCACCGGATAGCCCCATTTGTTCAGAATGTCTCCGGATCTTATTGTACCCATGCACAGTCTATTCAAAGATTTCCACACTTCCTAGCTTTTGCCAGATCCAGGTGCCAGCTCCTACGTTGGTTCCATCAATGGTGGGATTCAAATATGTGAACAACTGGTTCTCTGTGTGGATGCTCCTTCCAGAAGTCCATTCTGGGCCTGGGCAACAAAAAATTAGTTACCAATTCTGCCGAAGTGGCATGAACCAGCTGAATCCCACAACTGGGTTCCATCCAGTGTTGGTTCTTTGTAAATTTCCATAGATCCACTCTGCTTTCAAATTTTTCAAAGTCTTCCGTCGACCTAAGGAAGCTTTTCCTGGATTTTAGTCTCTGCTGAGCTGGTTGTAGGCCACAGAGAGGGTGTTGTCTAGATATTGATGATTGAATCTCTCTCTACATATAGTGCTTCTTCTCTGCAAAAAGCAGACAAATGGACAAATGAAAATGAGCAAATGTTTTGCTGTTTTTCCCAGTTCAGAGTGCACTGAAAGAAGTTATGTCATTCATTTTCAAGGTTTAATATTTCGAGATGTCCATATTGACCACATTAATCCAGAAAACCTAAAGGATCCACTTAAACCTTTTAGCTTTGATTTGGGGGTGGAGTGGAATGGAGTAGAGAAGTCATATTGTAATTGGATAATGTTGAAGAGCTAGTATGAACTGTAATTTACTGTTATCAATATTTCTTAGATGCTTATTTGTTATTTTTACATTACGGTTGCTTCTTGCTATGCACACTGTGAATAAAAAATAAAATCTAAAGGGTTGGGCACAGCGAGAGAGAAAACAAGACAGAAATAGAGGGATGGAGGAATAAATGAATGGACACAACCTTAATTATTATTTCAATCATTCTTCTTTGCTATTGTTCCTTGAGCCACTATCTATCTATTCCATACATAATATGATATTTACGGAGTCCAGCCTTCCTCAACCTGGTGCCTTCTATGTGTCTATTTCAGATATTGAAGTCCGACACATCTAGAAAGCACCATGTTGCACATACCTAGACTTTTACTATGGTGCGATGAAGAGTCTCAATCTGGATATGCATTCACATTGACATGGATAGATGTAACCTTTTTTGATAGGTATACTTGGGGAAAGGTTTTGGAGCTGACAATTTTGTTTTTCAATTACTAAATTTGGATAAACAGATCACTGTTCAACATTTGTTCATCATGTGAGCAGACTGAATTGATATTCTTCTTAAAATTATGGCACCCACCCCAGATCAGGTTTTTTATTTGCATAATGTTCATTTGTTGGGTTTTTTTATTTATTTTGTTTATGTGTGTGTGCCTTTGAATCAGTTTCTGACTTCTAGCAAACTCCTTGGACAAGTCTCTGCAGTTTTCTTGACAAGATCTTTTGGAAATGGTTTGCCATTGCCTCTTTCCTAGGGCTGAGAGAGAAGGACTGGCCCAAGGTCACCCAGTTGGCTTTGTGCCTAAGGCAGAACTAGAACTCACAGTCTCCTGGTTTCTAGCTTGGTGCCTTATCCACTGTACCAAAATGGCTCTCTCATGTAATATTTTAGGACTCTGCTAATCTTTGTAGGATTGCATTACTTCAGTGAAGTTTCATTTGAAACTCTCCACTCCAAAGCTGCTTGATAAAGCAACACAGTCTGCTCTCTTCATCATTATCATCACTTTGACTGCTCCAAGATTGCCTCTGCAGCCTTGACCAGCACTTGTAACAAGCTATTGCTGATGGAGGCAATGAGCCAACATGAAAGAAGCTGCACACACCCCTCTTTGCCTCCCTGGATTGTTTCTATGGCACAAAATTCCTGTTGACAGAAATCAAAGCTGTCTCTGTGTCTAGACATCAGCACTTGATGATAATGAACAAGCAAAGACACTTAGATAAAAAAATCCATTTTATTGAACTGAATTAGTAATCACATACTTAGAGAGAGAGAGAAGAAAAACAGGCACTTAAATCTTGTCCTATGGCTGAACAAGCAACATTTGTGTGCTGAAGCAAGATTCTATGTTAAGCCAATCAGATTGGTTTCATTTGTCATAAACTGCTCTTAATTCCTTTCTGCTGCAAAAATTATGAATGTAGTAGTGCAATTCACTAAGATATCAAAAAACCCAAAATGATTAGTTAGGGCCACTCCCCTCCTGAATAAGCTTTTTAAAGTCTATTATATGGCTTGACTAAGCATCTTATTTGCTACATATAAATAGGCATACAAATAGGAACGAACTGAGTGTTTTTTTTTATAAAATGGTCTTAACTGATATACAATCGCAACGTTATACAAATCACTGACAGTCCTTAATCTGCTTTTCCAAGTGTAAGGCCTCACTTTCTGAATTCATTCTGTTTCTGTCTTTCCAGATTTTTCTCTATTATATAAGAATTGGATCTACCTTCTCTTATTCATTGATCAAGATCACATTTCATTACTGGGGCAGGGGGAAAGAAAAAGACAACCTGTCCTTTTGTGTTCATGCAGTGATCCTAGTAGCTGATAGTCTGCATTATCACTGGCAAAGTAAAGCAGTAAGTATCTAGAAAGGTTTGCAAGGTTTTTCCATTACACAAATCACTGCTGCTCTAAACCATATCTGCCACATTTGTCTCACTGTAATAACCACGAAAGCTCAAGCTTAAATCTAGGCCTAAAGAGCCAAAGAAGAAACCAAAGAAACCATTTCTGCAAGTAGTAAATACTGTGGGTTTTTATTTATTTATTTAATTTTTATCCCGCCCTTCTCCTTACGGACTCAGGGCGGCTGACAGCCTTATAAAACAGATACAACAATAAAAAATACCCAGTTTAAAACCTAATTAAAAAGAAATATTTACTGTGGCCTATGTCAATTAAAATTACTCTTAAAACCCCACTAAAAATTCCCCTAGGCCAATCCCGCTTGTTGGAAGAGCCATGTCTTTAGGGCGCGGCGGAAGGAGGGGAGATACGGGATCACCCGGATCTCTGGGGGTAGTTCGTTCCAGAGGGTGGGGGCTCCCACCGAGAAGGCCCTCCCCCTGGAGGTCGCCAGCCGGCACTGTCTGGCTGACGGCACCCTGAGGAGACCCACTCTGTGGGAGCGTACCGGCCGATGGGAGGTAATCTGCGGCAGAAGGCGGTCTCGGAGATATCCAGGTCCGATGCCA